AAAAAAAAAAAAAACAATTAAATGCCTTCTGGATATGGGCAACAAATTTTAAAGAGTGGACAAAAACGAACTGAAATATGGATCAGTGACAAGAATATCGGTTTAGGACGACGGAATAAATTTCGAGAAATAACAAACCTTATCTCCTCGCCTCTTGTAATACTGAGAAAGTGTTGCAGCAATAGCGCTCTGCGAAGAGTTCAGGTTTTCTGGATTACCCCAATTCTCAGAAGCTTCATCCGCATACAGAAACGTTGCTCCCGGATATTCGGTAGGGAATTTCCCGCTATTCGGTAATTTATATCCGACGAACCTGCAATTCTGATGCAGCCTGTTCAGCCTGGCTTGTAGAGGAGATGATAAATTGGATTTAGATTTTTTTTTTTCAAAAGCAGAGCCCTTTCAGTATTCAGCGATTGCTAGAGGCGGAGGTAGAAATATGTGCCACCAATAACCACCGTCAGCAATGCTTCCTAGTTAGACGCAAGCCGTTAACAGGTAACATAATATAGCAATCGTGCTGAAGCTTGCAATTTGAATGCACCAGTGAAGCGAACAATCTCTCTACGATTCGTCTATGCCTTTTGATGATAAAATTGTACGGGTGCACGCCAGTGAGCCAAAATCCCATCGTCTTGCTTCTCCAGCAATTAGTTACTTTTGATAAGTGATAGCACTTGAGCTGCTTCGGAGTGCTGCCATCTCTTACAACCAAAGCATAAATGAAGAGGAAGTTGATTTTTGGCCTCACTTTTCATTTCAACCCAACGATCATGCATTTTCGAGTTGTTTCAGCGTCGTCTCCAGCAACTAGCACTATTTAATTTCTTTCGCCAGAGATAATCCTTTGCTTTATAACACACTTTTGCCTCCTCTCCGTTGCCCTCTTTTGTTTCTACATAAAAAGAAAAAATTTACCAGTCAACGGATACACCATCTCGATTTCTGCATGAAAACTGGCTGCTTGTGAGATGAACGGTTACCAGTACCGTTACTAGTCCCACAAAATCTAGCCCGACTCCACAAAACATTTTCGTAAACTGCTAAATTTATTGCAAATACGACAATTTCATTGTGCAGGCTGTGCAAAATGAA